TGTTCTTGTTGACCAGAGCTGGGTATCAGCACTTGAAATGAAAAAGGAATGGACCAAAATAAACTCAGTATCAAAAAGTAAAACACTAAATCCTACACACTGGACCTTTAAAGGTTGCTGGTATTGGTCCTGGTAGGTTATAGAGTGTGCCAGTAAACCCGGAACTCCGTTAGGGCTTTTAGCACTTCTGGTTCTCTCGTCTAAAAGTCAATACATTTTTTGAATGGGATTTTGGTAAAATGTCTCAAATAAGGTCTGTGGTTAACAAAAGCTTAAGCGAGTTTCAGGTTTTGTTCTACGACATAAAACACGTCAGTAAATACCCTACTTGTGAATTTTGAAGCTTTTACGTGTTGTAAAAAAGGCGGTTGCTAACAAGTTGCTCAATACGACTACAAACCCTGTCGGGGACATTAAACGTCATCACCCCCAAACAGACAAGAGTGCTGGCAGTCCGCCATTACAGCTTCTTATTTAGCTTAAACAGTCCGATTTCCCCATTATACAATGTTTTTAAAATAAAGCGGCCGAAATCAGCTGAAAGCTTAGTGGCGGTGACGTCAAGAGTCATGCGACCGTGGAGTAGTCATATAGTCCGTTAAAGCCTAACGTTAGCTTTTTACTTCTGGCGATCGCATTTAAGCTTCAAATGCAGTATGAAAGGTGTTCATATGTGAAGATTATCTCGCTGAACAAAACCTGTAAGTATCATAAACCTGTGTTAGCCACAGAGCTTATTTTCTGACATAATCCAAAAGGCTATGCAAAAATCACATCGACTTTCTCTTCCGGGTTTTGACGTCAGCCCTGGCACATTCTATTGTATCCAGCCATACTGTTGACACAGTCAGAGAAGTATTAATGAATTGATATGTTTCAGCATTTAGGGTAGTAGTTAGTAGTAAGCAGTAAGCTAGTGATGTGTTGTACTGGACTAAATTATATTGAGAGGTGTTTCTAAACTTCTGCCTCCCACAATGCATGTAAATAGGGAGGACAGAAAAATACACATGCCCGTTATAATGTAGTCCAGTGTTATGTGCAGCAGCCTGTTCTCTCTCGCTCTCTATCTCTCTCTGCCAGTCTAATCTCCCTCCTCCCTCTGCCTGCCTCGCACCTGAGTGCAATCAGCACTCAGGTAGAGAGAGGAGGAGGGGATAAGAGGGACAGGGAGTGTAGAGGTAAGAGTAGGCACAGCACATGGCACGCAGACAACAGATCAGGTAGGGAGGAATCTTTTTCTTCCTCCCTTGTTTTTCTCTCTTTTGCTGAATGTTTTGGGGTATATAATAAAGCTGGTGGGTAAACTGTTACCTTTGGTGTGGCGTCCTCTCTTTATATGTTGCAGCCTCCTGCCCCTATTGAGCCATGTTTTGTTCCTGTTTGTATGGAGGCCGTAACATCCAGTATGACAACACATTTAACCATGACCTCAATAAATTTAATTTACACATTTCCAACCATGTTCAGAAAACCTGAACATTATGGGCTTTGTAAAAGTAGAATTTATGGCAGATCTGTTGCTTTGGATTGCTCAGGTGTGACTGTGCATATGGTACAAATGTTATTATATGCTACATAATTATTATTCATCACTCAGTTTTATGAGTTTACTTTGAGTTTTACGTGATAACAATGATCAAACAGTAGCTGGGTATAGATTTGGCTCAGGTCTGATTAAATGTCAAAACATTATCAGTCACCATAACTAAATCCTGATCTTCTTTTGCAGACATCCTCTAGTTAGGACAAAACAATGTGCAACAATTACACAGCTTGAAACAAACAAAGAAGCTCTCAGTCAACAATATTTTGGTATTTGCTGCTTTAAATATTGCCCATCAATTTTCAAACCTGAATATACTGTACATCTGAATGATCCTGAATGGTGTCTGCGAACATAAAGCTGCAGTCTAGAAAACTGAGATGAGTTTCATATATTTCCATTGAGGAGATCCGAAATAAATACATTTCTATACTCTAATATCCTGAGAAGGTCATCTACGCTTATATCCAATCTTTTTTTTCACTCTGCTGCAACACTCAAACATCTCTCTCTCTAACACCTCCCGCTGGTTCAGCTGTGTTTTAGCTGGACCTAGAAGAAAAGACAGTGTATAACCAGTGTAATCATCTCCCTGCTGGTCGCCACTTAGAACAGGAATGAGCCAAGGATTTAAAGCCCAAGTCAGTCTGACCTCCAGCTATATATGGCTGACCTTTTAGGTTCTTTTATGAACCAAAGCAAAGGCTGCCTGCGACATATCCTGATGATGACTGTTATTATCATGTCGCAAAACCACTTAAAGTTTCCTATTCACCTGCTTCTGTTTTATTTCAGTTACACACACACACACACACACACACACACACACACACACACACACAAAAGATCTACATATTGTAATCAGAAACAAAACAAGATGCTTTTATTCCTTCTTCAAGAAGGCATGCTTTCAAGAGTCACCCCAGTCCTCATTCACAGGGCACAAAAATACACCATTTGGATAATGTCCGAACAACATCACTGTCCAACAAACACCAGACTCTGACCCAGGAGACCAGTGTTGCCTAAACCTGACCACCGACCCCTTCTTATGACCAACCTTTTCTGTGTCAAAATACAGTGCAAAAGGCTGACTCATTTCAGTAATGCAGGGGCTTCTGCCCAAGCAGAAAAACATGAGAGATGAGAGGATGAGATCACGTTGCAAAAGCACAGGTTTTGTTAACAAAAAAAAAAAAAAAAAAAGTACCACCAATATCTGTCCTTGTGATGAAATATGTCTCTGCTCATGTTGACAAATTCAAGTCACACTCACAAGGGTATGGGCAACATTACCATACAAATAAGGAACAAAATAATGCAGATTTATTCCATACAAGCCCTGTTATTATCCTATAATTGTTTTTGTTCCGTACTTACTTTGTATATCCATTTTAATTTACTTTGTGTATCAAATAAACACGAAAAAGGCCCAAATCGTGCAGAGACCAGAGGGGTATTTCAGTTTCCAGACTTTTGTCTCCACCTGGTGTTCACTGAGTGAACTGCAGGCTAACCAGTAACTGGTCATTGACAATAACGCGATGTATGTTATCTGATGGGTTTATTTTGTTTCCTTTTATTTTATTTACAATGTTAAAACAATGCAGCCAAACATAAAATAAATAAAACACTGAGTCATGACAATGAGGGGAAAAAAAGGGACTGAACAGCAACAGGAGCTTCATGCAGCTAATACAAGATTGTCCAGCAATACCTAAAAAACAAGCTGACTCTTCATGCTTTACAGCCACTTCATCGACCCCAATTAGATCCAAAGAAAGTTTGTCTGGTTCCTTGCTGACATATTCTGCTCTTCTGGAAATCTTCTCTCCTCTTGTCATGCTGTTTAACTGTTGGAAGGATGTTATTTGTCCACAGGTGTCCAACAGATGCTTCACAGCCTGACCCAATTTGCAAGTTGCCTTGTGTTCTTTACCAGTAGCTCACAATCTGCCACTTTTACTGTAAGGCACTTGTATGCAGTTAGAAATGACTCTACTGAAATGAATGTACTGTACTGTATTTTACCCTGGCAAGTGTGGCTGAAGCACAGTACCAGGAACAGTGTGACAAGCAGGTTAATGTAATCCAGCTAAGAAGTATTTATACAAAGGTCATGATGTCTCCTGGTGAAACATTGTTACAGCTCAGTTAAAAAAATGAAATAGAGGTGTTGCTGCTGAAAACCTCATAATTATGACATTTTGAATTTGTGGTTATATATAGTATTATAGGCTTTAAAGGTTCAGTGTGTAAGATTTAGAGGGATATATTGGCAAAAATGGAATATCGGTATGTTTTCTTTAGTCTATATTCACCTGAAAATAATAATTGTTGTCCTTTCATTACTAAAATGAGTTGTTTATATCTACACAGGGAGCAGGTCCTCATCTATGGTGATTGCCACGTTGCACCACCATGTTTCTACAGTAGCCCAGAACAGAAAAACCAAACACTGACTTTAGATGGGGCCATTTGCGTTTTCATGTCGACCACTGTAGTTAGCAGCCCCTCCACGTCAATAACATTGGAAAAACATATATTTTTTAACGTGCCACTGCCATGTGTTCTTACTGGTGTCAATCACTGAGTCCGTTTGTTTTGGAGAGGAAAAGACAGCTGTAGATTATTTGGCTCCCAGATAAAACCTCCTGAACGTCTGTATCTGAAGTTATCAGAGGCAAAAGGTGAGCATGTATCAACAGGTGCTGGGCTAATAGCCCGTCTCCGACATGCCAAACTGCTTCAGGGAAACACTTGCCCCTTTTACACTGCCAGATGTTCCACGAATGTTGGGCCATTTTGACGGCAAGCTGCGAGCGTTTAGACACACAGAGCCAGATTGGCGAGTTGATTCAAGGTGCCCAATTTTCGGCCCCGTAGGGTAGTCATATTGGTGGAACCCTTTTAGTTTAAACAGACCGAGGTGGCCTTCCGCAACAGGAGGGGCTGTTGAAGACTTGTGGGAGGAGCTGTTGATGACGCCGTGCCTGCAACCCACTGGTGGTGGATAAACAGGAAACAGCTGATAGCAGGAATTAGCGAGCAGCTAGTAGCTAGAGGGAAACGCAAACCTGACATACGCTGTAAAGATGAGCAATTGAGGAGACAAGGAATTGTGCAGCCTCCTTGTCCTCTCAAACAAAGAGGCCATTAACCGTCGGATGAAGAATGGGCTGACTTATGAGAGAATCACCGAAGGACTGACCAGCCGTGGCTTCCCTCCCACGTCACTGGTTACGTCACACACTGAGTTACACATTTTGTTACTTGCTCACGCCCCCCATTGCCCCGAAAAAGGAGCATTCTGTATAAAAAAAATAGTAGGTGGGCGGCATTTTGCCACACTCCCCTATTTTGTTTTTATACTGCCAATGCTGAAAAAAGACTGATTGGGCTTTCCTGCAAATTTGCACAATTTTTTATAGATCACAACTTTTGCGTGGGAAGTGGCGTACATCTTTCAGGCCTCGTTTTGTGCATACACAATGTTTATAAATGAGACCCCTGGTCTATTTGACCTCTGCAGATAACTCGGCTTCTCGTAAAAACCTCTTGAACAATGAACACTGACTGCACAAAGACTGACGGAATTCTAACCAGAAGTTTCAGCTTGTTGCAGTCTGCAATCCTCACCACTAGCTGCCACTAAATCCCTCTAAATCTTACACACTGGACCTTTAATTTGAGTGTTCACACATAATTCTTTTATACACCAATTCAGAGACTTAAATGCTTATATTACAAATGTGCAGACCATATTTTAAATATTGCTTTTTTCTTTACACATTTGATTTTCATGTGACTACAGTGCTATGGCTGTGGTTGTCATATTGTGGTTTTCTTGCTCTTATTCAAGTTCACTCAGGCAATAAACGACTGATGTACAGTACATTTGACTGACATGTTAACAAAAAGTGAAAAAGAGTTTGACACAAAAAGGCATTTCTTTTCCTTGAATAAGGAAATACAAAAACCATCAGGTGAACTTAATTTCAGAGCAATCAGCAAGCCCAGACAACAACACTCAGTGCTCTGCAACATGTAACTGATATGATATCTTACATACTGACATTTTCCCAATGTTTACCAGTGCTAACTAAAAGAAAACCCCAAAACAACAGTTATATATATAAAAAATGCATTTTTCATTGCCCATATCAGTCGTCAGTCTTACAGTAGTTATTAAGGCAAAAAAGTAGTCTTTGTCACGGGCAGTGGCTTCTTCATTATTGTCCAGTGTGTCTGTATCATCTAAAATTAAACTGTATGTGCATTCATGCATGTCTTTGAGTTGTGATTTTCTGACCTCCTTTGTCCAGATGACAGACAGTGAAGTCCTTGGGAGCATCAATGCTCCTCCTGCAGGCTGCAAAGCATCTTGAGCAGCTAGACTGGCTCTAATATTGTATTTGGCCTTCAGTATTAACAGTAACACACTGATATAGATGCACAGTATAAATAGACTATGCAAGGCCAGCCATCAGGCTACAGAATGGAAGAGTATATATCCAGTCACACTGTAACAGGCCACCAATTTACAAGTACTGACACAGTACAGAGTGCACAAGATGTCACGATCTCAGTCCATGTGCACTTTTTTTAGTCCGTTAGTTCCAATGCAAAGACAGAATGCGTGCCACACATGGTGATTTGAATTAATTCAGTCAGTCAGTGCTTCAAAGCGAGTTACGAGGTCCCGTCGGTCCAGTGCGTGGCCCATTCCTTTTTATGGACAACTCCTGACTTCTCAGTCTGGAACTGTGGCCGGTCCTCGCGAGGAATCTTCACCGCGTGGTACTGAGGCAATTTGTCTTTGTAGTGGGCCCGTTGGAAGAAGCCACACTGTTGGCGTAGGAAAGAGGAGTGCAGGTAGGAGTGCACACAGGGATGGAGGGGCCGGAAAGAATGAACAAACAAAGAGTTAAGGGATGTCACATATAAAAACACAACTGCATATGACTTGCATTTGTCTGCCCATATTGACTTGGTCTAGATTCCAATATCATGCCTTCTAACAGATGGTTAAAATTCTCATTATCTGATGACCTTGTGCAATCAAAGTGACATTTTAATAAAGGCACAGCCACCCAAAAAGCACATCCACATGCTCTGCATTTCAAATTCAGCATCAGTCTTAAGTGTCCTTGATTAACACGCTGCCAAGTGCCGTTAAGAAAATCTGCACATGTTAATGTGAACAAAAACACCTGCTGATATAAATGACAAGTTGATTCTGGCACCTGAAAAAAAGAACACTTGGTCATGAGATGAAAGTCAATAGGAGTGTTAATAGATTGAAAAGTGCATAACAAACACATCACGAACATTAATGGTCCCCAAAGACTGGTGCCAGAATGAACAAGTGTGATTAAACCGTAACAGCAGAGGCACAACACACAGCACAGCAGGCACCTGAAATGCCCTGAAGGCAAGATGGCTGGATGGTGTTAAATAAGCACAGATTAAAAAGACAAACAATGCTAAATAATAGGAATCAGTGTTGCATTCACTGACACAACAAAACTGTTTACTATTCGTGATCTAATAACAAACAGCATCACAGTTGCAAAAGTGAACAGGTTGATTGTGGGTTAAAGAGACCATAATCTGTACACCATAACTGACCATTTGCTAAACCCCTCCCAAAAGCTGCTATCGTCCAATCATAGCTTAGCAACCACACTTAAGCACTGGTGCCATCTTTGAATGTCTCTACAAGCTGTTTATGAAAATGGCATTTTAGCCTGTCCAAAATAAAAACACAACAGCAAAAGTGTAGAGGTTGAGCAAAGTGTTTGTCTGCTCTACTGTAAGCACCAAATGTTAGCATGTCAGACTTATTATTTGTTTTTGTTTTTTAAAGCTAGTGTTGTTCTTTTATTCTTTGTTGTTTCTCTCCTTTATTGAATTTTCTTAGTATGATGTTATTTTATTTATTTATATGAAGCACTTAATAACTCTGGTTTAGAAAAGCGGCATGAAAATAAATGTTGTTATTTTTGTGGGATTACGGGTTAAAAAAACAGCCATGTTCATGAATAGTACATCCAATGTATAGTATTTCCTCATCAGGGTTGGCACCAGCCACCAGCATGATGCTCGTAAAATATGCAGGTGACTGCTAGATTTGCTTCACTTACCAACCAAAAACAATAGTAATCTTTCGAGTGAGAGGAGTAGGTTTTGGAATCCACCAGCCATAGCTGCAGTTGGACAACTCGGTTCCACACTGTTTGCAAAATGATCCTGGATGCTAATACTTTAGGCTAACATTTGCAGCTCTGCCCTGCTTTTATTAGCCAGATCTGGGTATCTTTACACTGTAGCAACCCCAGCCAAACAATAGCTACATAACATAATACTGAGCCCGAGCTCATATTTGATGCTCAGGCTGAGCATAAAAAAAAAAAAAGACCAAGTTGGCTTCGAACACCCGTGGCTGCCCGTGTGGACCAGTGAGCCATGGACCAGCTTGGTGGATCACTGACTCTCCACACTGTATTTCCCCGCCAGAAAAGCTTCTTGCTCCGGCTGGGAGGAAGGACAGAGAGCCCAGCACGGAGCCTGGCTGCTCTCTCTCCTTCTCTCCCTGCCTGCAGGGTGAGAACAGCAAAAGAAACAGTAGATGATATCAATCAATCAGTATTTGATATCTATAATATATGTTGGATTTACATTTTAAATAGATAATGATTAAATAAATTAAGTGCAGAGTGTCCACTTTTTAATAATGTATTTATTAAATAAAAGATATTTATTTTATTTTATTTGTTTATTTATTAAAAAAATATATTTTCAGGCTTGGGTTGAGATTGAAAATATTGGGGTTAGTCTGATCTTTCATCAACCTTATTATACTATGACTAACTACCTCTTGACTGTAATACGAAAACATTAAAATTGCTGCAAATTCAATTTGAGCATGCCTAAGCTTTTGACTCAGCTTTTTAGTACTATGTGTGCAGCTGTCAAGAGTTTTTTAATTGTTAACAAAGTTAACTGGATCAAAAGCTAGGTGAGTGACCTCTTTTACAAGGCCATTGTTTTAAAATGAGTCAGCTGGAACATGAAAAACTCAGCATTTCCAACCAAGTCATGGAGCTAATGTTAGCTAGCTAGCTAGATAAAATCTGCCAGTGTCAGTTGTCATGAGAACAGAATGCCAAGCATAGCAACAGTTACCAGAGGGGAAGTGCGGCTTAACAAATGGTCAACCCACCATCCCACTGCTACATTTTTACGTTTTTGTTAATTTGTGCCAAACTGTGGTTATATTTCACATCGTGATGAACACCACCAGCCACACCAGAGTGCATCAAGGAACAAAGCAATCGTGGGTATTTTTACCGCTTGGAGGGAGAGGCGGAGGGGAGAGCAGGCCAGAGAGAAACACTTTCTACATTATAGTTCTGTTGCCTGCTTCTCCGCCTCCGAGGGTTGGACCCCCAAATGGGCGCGGTAGTACTCCGTCTCATAGTGCCGGCGGCGCTCACTGCGTTTGAAGAACCCACACTGGGCAACAGATCACCACGGGGAAAGTAAAACAGGGGAAACAATGGGAAATTAAATACAAAGGGGATGGATAGTCCCCAGAAGGGTTAGTTAGAGAGAGGAGACAAAACAAGAGGAATGACACACAGAGAACAAACAAAAGTGGAAAGGAACAGATGAGAGTGAGCTGGAAGGAATAAAATGATTATAGGACAGAACAGAACAAAGCGGACAGAACTAATTGGACTACAATGAACAGTGATAAGAAAAAGCCAGTGTAATGGCCAGTGAGGTGACAGGGATGAAGTCTGTCTATAAGGACCTCTTTTGTGTGAGCCACTGGACCACTTTTATCAATACTGGCTGTTAAAGCCAACCCTAACTCATTGTTCTGGGGACTTCGACACAGAGCACAATGGGGTCTTAGAAAGCACAAGTGTTACCAACATGTTCTCATCCCAGTGGCCTTTCACGTCTACATATCACTCCCTAGTTATACTTCTGATGTTCAAGGATGCCCCCTCCTAGCCGAGACGTCAACAAAATGCACATGGTTAGATTTAGGAAAAACAAAAAACAAAACAAAAAACATCATGGTTTGGCTCTGTATTCATACCCAAAGCAAACAATGGGCTCCCAGGTAAAAGTCCAGGGTTTATTGGGCTCCTCCTACCTGCCCTACAGGGACCTTCCAGCTCCTTATATTATTGCATTACCTGCAGCATTTCAACTTGATGCCGTCCAGCAGCGTATCAAACTGCTACGACAGGTGCCGGCCACGTTACATACTGACGCTGCCTGTCCGTGTATTATACTGCCCCTAAAAGTGGCTTTTGGCATCAGGTGTCTGACACCAACATCACGGACAAAGCGGCAGCATTCAACAACCTCAGAATACACTGACAGTTAGGAATCCTGTATGTGTCCATTACCTTCCACAGTATGCAGACCAGCAGAGTCAGCAGCAGGATGCCTGCCAGAACAGCTATAAGGATGATCCACCAGGGGATCCAGTACTGGTCAGCGAGACCAGGCTCAGGATAGATCATCACTGGAACCTGCAGAGGAATGGACGACACAATAAGAACACAAAATTTAAGGACAAATCAGTAAGTCAGGCCTCAGTGACACATGCCTGTAATGATAATAGATGCTAAAAAAGAGTTCAAATGTTCAATTCAAATGTGTGAATTACAAATTAATTAACTTAGTCTATTCTGCTGGTAAGAATGTGTGAATGTTGCTGCTAATTTATATGCTGAATTACATGGAAAAATGAATTAAGCTTGGAGGAGACATGCTCAATGGACTGAGGTGTGAGGAGTACCTGTGCAGCTGCGTCCTTGAGGACCAGGTGTTTGATGCTGGACTTCACAGTGATGTTGGCTCTGACCAGCAGCTCCAGAGCACTGACGGATGGAAACTCCTGACAGACGGAGAGAGGAATAATGATGACAACTTGATAAACAGGTTATCAGGCATCCGAGTAACACTTGGCTTTGTTCAATCAGAAACAGCTCTTAAAGTTTGTGAAATTAAATACTATCTTTATCTATACAGTGTTCGAATCAAAATCAAAATCCCAGTCTAATTTGTCTTCCTATAAAACATGTTTTTATGTTGGCTAATGAGTTATTAATATTGCAGCCAATAAAATGTCATCATAGATTTTGGGTGAACCATATAATGAAGATGGACGAGATGACAGCTCCCCATAAGGGAACCCAAAACATCTCGATTGCCCCCTGGTGGCTGGCTGCAGTATAGGTCATATAGGGGGGTACATATTGGGGTACACTCACCACATCATATAAAATGATATACATCATATTCAAAAGAGAATTTCAGTGCTTCTTTAATCTGGTGAAATGTTTGTGGTTTTGGCCATCATTCATAGTGGCCTACATATTCATATCATACCATATAATAAGGTCTACAGCCTTGACAATAAGACCCATGAAAAACAAGTATTTAAATTTCAGTAAGTTTCATGTGAAATTAAGTCAAACCACAGAAGAACACTGCCATCTAGAAACCATGTCAGTTGGTGCTCAAGCAAGAAAAAAAACCACCATGTTGGTTGTATATTTCTTGTCACTCTTGGATCTGAATATCAAACTGGCAGCTGCTTGCAGGTGACTCAGTGGTCAGACCTGACAGCTGTGTTCACAGTTTGCCGACTGCCTTAACATCAAAGATCTCGTGTTAATCATGCTGCAGTTATCATTCCCTCAGTTGCATCAGATCAACGTGAGCTGCCAGGAGCAGCTGTAACAGCTGGACTGAATCTGAGGTGGAGACTAATGTGCAGTGAGATGCTGATGTAACGATGACGAGATTTTTTATTTACCTCTATGAAACTGCTGTTCCACAGCCTGGCATGAATCTTGAGGACAGCCTGACCGGAGAAGCTGTGGAGGGGACACTGGAACAGAACACAGCGTGCCGACCCCAAGAGACAATCCTGGAGAAAGAGGTGACAGCTGAGCACTCAGGGAATGTGTAATGAACTGGAACAGCTATAACAGTAGTAAAAAGGTGACAAAGTCTGCATCTTTTCTTTTGTGCATCTATATTTTCCTCTGCCTCTTACCAGTTTGAGCGACTTGCGTCTCTCTGAAGCTGCCACAGCTGGGGTGGTTCGCCCCACGTTGCCCTTTGTCATCACTTGACCTTCCTCCTCTGGGTGGGAGCGGCGTGTTCGCCCCGCCTAGCAAAAGTGACACATTCATACAGGCAGAGATAGATCAGTCTCTAAAGATGGTAAATTTAAGATTTTTTGTAAAAAAAAAAAAAAAAAAAGAGCATTCAATTGTCAGCAAGGTCATGACGTAATTATTTATCCAGCTCTTTAAATGGCTACAACTCCGAACCTTCCAGGCCAAAAGACATAAACAACACAAGTTAGATGCAGACTGAGTGTGTCCTCCATATTGGTGGTGTTAGAATAAAATGTCCTTGCTGAGTCAATAATGAGCTCTGCTCTGCTCTGCTCTGCTCTGCTTACCACATGATTGACAGACTGTGGGAGTTCTGCAGACGAGGAGCTGTATAGCTGCAGAGGATTTAAGGCCCCCGTCGGGGTGCACTGGGTGTTTGGGTGACCCTCAAACTTCAAGCTGGCAGGATACAAGAGCCATTTCTCATTGGTCAGCTCGTAAGGCCACATGATGTTGAGGAAGGCCGAGCCGAGTGTCTGCAGGACTTGTCCAGGATTAGCAACCTGATGTAAAAAGTGGAACACAGATGTGTCTTCTTTTAGCAATGATATGTCCTATGCTTCTCACCTGTGTCCATGTGGCAATCAAAACAGACACATAGAGGGTCCTGAATACACACACACACACACACACACACACACACACACATTAGTTCCTTACCACAAACTCAAAATCCACAGGGCTGCCGATTTCCTCTAGACTGGTCATGGCACTTTCTCCCCTCACTGTGCCACTGAAGAACAGCTGGTGAGGACGAGCAAGCCTACCGTAAAACACGATCACATCAGTCAGTCGGACAGCTGCATACACACGCACACAGCTACATATAGCCTATATCTGTTTACTATGTACAGCAGCTGTACTGCTTAAGCCCATTGGTAAACATGGGATTACAGCATGCCTGTAATAGCTGCAAGAGCGCAAGATGAATTTTAATTATTCAAAGTCATGAATTGTTAATGAGTTTGAATTGTTTATTTTTGATTCTTAAAGAGATCCCAACATTTCTAAAGATACTAAATATGCGTGGCTGGATTACTGAAAGGGCCTACCAGGCACGGGCCCAGGGGTGCCTTTCAAATGCAATATATCACTCAAATGATGAGGAAAAGACTCAAAATGACCACAAAGAGACACAAAAACAACACAAAGAGATGCAAAAGAACTGCAAAGAGACACAAAATGATGTTAAAGACAGACAACAACCACAAGGAGACACAAAACGACCGCAAAGAGACACAAAATCAAAACAAAGAGATGGAAAAGAACTGCAAAGAGACACAAAAATAACAACAAAAAAAAACAAGAAAAAACAACCACAAAAAGACACAAAATGACATGAAAGACACCCAGCAACCACAAGGAGACACAAAACCACAAAATGATGCATAACCACCACACAGTTTGTGTCTTGCTCCTATATAGTAGAGGTGGTGGGGCCTTTTGCATATCTGTGCGCAGGGACCCATTGTCTTGTAATCCACCCATGCAAATATGTCAGGTTAAATTTGAGGGAAAATATATATAAAATGATCCCACGATATCCAGAATATCTCAGAGTAAACATCATATACTGTCAATGAAAAGTTGGATCAGGCTGATACAGAGTAAGATCGATTAAGCAAGCTTAAAGCTAAGTGAAAACAAGGGTTTGATTAAACTAAACTAAGATAGAGCCGCCTGTCTGTGAGACATACAGTTTTAAACATTGATGGAGAAACTGTTTTAAAATGTGTTACTCACCCACTGACAGACAGAGGGAGCTCTATCACAACTTTAGCAAAAGCTGTGACTGGTGCCAAGTCAGGCTGCTCACTGATCCTGAGGACAAAACCAAGAACAAACACTGATCAAAGGATTATTCTGTTTTAACAAGTCAAATATCTGCAGTGAGATAATCAGATCTTGATTTGAGTGAAATAAAATGCCATAGTCCAGTGGTTTCTAACGGGACCAGCCACAGGGTCCATGTATCTCCTCAGTCATTAGCTCAAGGTCGACACAGTGCAATATATTCAGTGTCGTACTTGCATTTGAGCATGTCGTCAAGCTAGTTTGCTGTCTCTGTTATGTAGTTGTCCGTTATTCACTCAGTCTACAGCAGGAAACGGCACTTGAAAATAAAAGCTTGTGCCGGATATTCATTGTACTTCCAAACAAAGTGTGTTGACACGTTTGCAAGTAACATTTAGAAAGGCGACCTGCGACCCACTTTTGGACCACGACCCACCAGTTATGAACCACTGCTATAGTTCATTATGGTGTCATTTGACTTTCCACTGTCAAGAAAATGTAGAGGACTTACGTTGTCAGTAAGAGATCTGCCGTCAGCTCTGTGGTCTCAATTGTGATGTTGGATGTGCTCAAGTTGATGGTGAATTTCAGCTGAAAAAGAAAAACATATATTAGATATTTCAGTCAAAACAAGGAGTGAAAAGGCAAAATAATTACACATAATTACACCTAATGCTGAAATTATACTGATTTTGTTTCACACCAGAGCAGAGAAATATCAAGAGGTATTAAAGTATATGAAATTAATAAGCAATATATATTTATGGCAACAAACTGCATCTTTTAAACCTGACAGTGCTCCAAGCTTTAACTAAATTCACACTGTTTGTTTCTGCACCTTAGCGTCTCTTTTCACAGGGTTTCCCAGGTCACATTCAACTTGGGAGCCATTCTGGTTCGCTTGGCATCTCATCTACAGTCAGTCAGGATATCAAACAAATACTATCAGCAAAAACAGAAATCCAAACACACATATTATTTGTATATGAAACTCAACTCAAAAAAGTTTTCCCTCATTAGAGCCCATACCTGAGGTGGGACCCTGGAGCCAGCATACGACAGGGTGTTTGGAAAGGAGATAAGCAGCTGAGCAGCGTGGGCATCATCTCCATCCTCCTCCGGCCTTAGAGGGTCAGAGGGCATGTTGGTGACGGTGATCTCCAGCACCACCAGCCGCTGGTCTGACAGGGAGAACACCTGCACATCATCCTCATCTCTACATGAAGAGAGAGGAGGAAAAAACACATTTACAGCTGTCAAGAATAAATTCAACAACATGCTGAAGTAACTTCACATGATTTCATTCTATAATACATGAGGATACATGATTTGATAAGCATCACTTTCACATAAGTCATCCTTTAATTAAGGGTTTATAAGTAACAAAACTCTTCATGCTGATGTTTGTTTTGCTCTAACATGACACTTTTAACTTCTTGGTTCATCAGAGACCCCTTCAATAGAGCTTTTTGTAGATATAATACTTTTAATATTTGTTAAAAAGTCAGACGCTTGAGAACATTTGCAGTTACAGACATGGTGCCCAACCAAACTTTTCACAACCTAGCAACATAAAAGTTGACCTAAAGGCTTATTAGTTGTGTAAAAAGCATTAGTAAATGATTTCTAACCATTAAAGAATACTTCACCATAAAATCACAATTTGTATGTCAATTACTCACCTAGTGTTACTTTGAATTTGTGAAGAAAACTGTTTTTCTAACATGCTTCTACAGTGAATGAAGAGTCCAAAGACTGAGAAGATTCTTGATGAACTCAAGTCACAGGGGACTGTGACTGTTTAACCAAAGCAAACTTTATCAAAACATCAGTTTACAAACTTTCACACAACTTGTGCAGTGTAATCCAAATGTCACTGATCCAGTCATACGCTCAGTACTTCTCAAACACATGAATTTTTGCTAAAACCGTACTATTCAGAACTCTTCCACATAAAAAATCTGGTGCAAGGAATCTGGACAAGAAGCAAACATGGGCAAGTGCATGTGTTTTAACTCTGTTCAACAGAATGCACAAGCAGAGTTCAAACACATGCACTTCAAAGTGCTTTGAGTGGTACAGTTTTTAAAGAGTTAAAGAGTTAAAGTTCCACTGATTGTCACACACCTGAGTGTGTGAAATTTGTTCTCCACGTTTGACCCATCCCCTGAGGGAGTGGTGAGCAGCAGCGATGCTGTGCTCAGGAATCATGTGGTGATCTAATCCCCCAATTCCAACAACTGATGCTGAGTGCCAAGCAGTTTTAGCAAAAATGCATGTGTTTGGGAAGTACTGAGCATACGACTGGATGAATAACACTTGGATTATACTGCACAGGAAGAGTGAGACTTTGTAAGCAGACTTTTTGATACCGTTTTGCAACATATCCTCATACAATGGTTCATATGTTATCTAACAAATTAGCGCCCTATGAATGACATGACCTACTTAACATAAAGTTACATACTTAATGTAAAGTTACTTTGGTTAGTTCAAGGAAAAGAAACATGGTGACATCGTACCTCAGAATAATTCAAAGTTCACCTGGATAGTTTCACGTGGTTCCAAAAATGGGTCTGCAGGGAGAAGTTCCTGTATTGTTTGACCAGTCCACAACCCCATCATGCCTCCTGACACTGTCTTTACACCACTTCTTTCTTAACAGCGCATTGGTCACATGAGCCTTTCCGATTATGTGGGTTACACAGGAATTAGTGGCTCACAGTTACGTGGGCTATATACAAGTTGCGATGCTACTTCGTAGGTGGCTTTTGTTTTGCTGTTTTTAAATGTGGACTCCCTTCCCTTCAATTAATCATTAATTAAAAATTAATTTCTGTTTTTGGATTCTTTGTTCACCATGGAGACATGCGAGAAGTTTTCTTTGCGACTTCAGCGTAACACGGTGAGTAATTGATATATAAATTGTCATTTTGTGGATGAAGTATTCCTTTAATAAGCCCATCAGTATAAAATTATGAACCCTTTATAAAGGGAATCTTATTATCAGTTCTTACCAAAAGTTGAATGTCAGAAACATGACAGTAAAACAGGCATTATAGTCTCATGATAAACATTCATAGACACTGCACACATATAATCACTTGTGTTGGGGGTATAGGTTGCTAGGCAGCAGTTTCTCAGACAACAATTGACATCATCATGGCCACCAGCTCACTCAGAGTAGGCTCTGCAGACACTAACTTTGGCAGAGGGGTGAAGAGGTCAGAGGTGATGGGTCGTGTTCCAAACTGGTAGCTCAGCTTCAGGTTGCTCTGGCAGATTTTGTCTTCGCCGCATCCTTCTCGCAGGAAGTTCACCTTCAGAGGTTAAATGAGGCAGACGAGAGGGTGTTAATCAAATCCCAAAGCACATTCAGCATCTAGTTTTTAAAATTTTAATGCAAGGTTAAATTATGTAGCATGGTAAAAACTGAAATGTTTGTAAAAGTAGCCTATTGAAATGTTTTATTAGTTTAGTAAAAGTGCCAAAAATCCACTAATTCCAGCTTCTTAAATGTGAATACTGTCTGGTTTTCTACAATAGTAAGTTGAATTTCTTTGTGATTTAGACTGTTGATCAGACAAAGAAGACATCTGAAGGCGTCACCTTGGGCTCTGGAAAACTGAAACAGCATTAATCGACAAAAAAATAAACGTTTGTTGCAGCCCTAATTGTATTGTTCTTTACTACATCAATATGGTTAAAATGCCTGTTAAGCAGCAATCGAGGGTTTACAGCAGTTTAAATCCCATAAAAAAATCTCATTCTGCATGTTTATCCATATTATTATTATAAAATTATAAATATAAATTAAATTTTCAGCTAGATATGTGTCATATGTTATCATTTTGGCTCTAACTAGCCTGAATCACTGCAGAAAGATTGTTGATGAAAAGTGTCTCATAAAGCTCAACTTCTTTATCCAGTAATCTGTGGGCAAGTGTAGCCCGTTAAAATTAATCCCAACCATAAAATACTTCAGCTTCCTTTTTGTTACAGACCTCCGTGTGCAGTGTATTAGACGGAGAAACACTCAGTACAGGCGCCAGCTTCTCCAGCCTCTTGGCACCTGAGTGTCTGCGTGGTGGCACAGGCTTGATGGTGTGGGTTATTGCCAGAGAGATGGGACGAAGTTTGTCACGGATGTTCTCCTGCATGGATAAAGATTAAAATTTAAAACAGAAAAAATTAAAAAGATTAATAAACAAGAAAAGATTTATGGTGCAAAATAGTGTGGATTTGGGATTTGGATGAGCATTTTAACTCATAAATGTTAAATTACTGAATGAAAGTAAACTGTTTAATGAAGCTTAGGACAAAATATTTTTGCTTTCAGAGTAAAAAAAAAAAGACAAAAATGAAGACCAAGAACCACAAACCTTGTTTACAAATACCTCAAAATTAACAAAAAACACTATGATTTTAGCACCACAATAAAAAAAAACAGCAGGTGATGTTTCTGATCTGGAGAAGATGAGCAAATTTAAGTTACTGACGTGGAGCTGGAAGGTAGCAGTGGTGCACACGGGGTGACGCTGCCGATGCAGCTCCACCTCTTCTGTCTGAGTGTACTCTGGCTCCAGAGAACTGCGGCCCAGGAAGTTAACGCGGTGTGGGAGGCCCAACTTCCTGCGTTCAGTGTCGGCTTCAAAGAGCACCACTAGGGCTTGAAGGGAGAAAAAACAGGAGCGATGCACGAGGAGAGACAGAGGGATGAGAAAATGTCAGGACACACACAGAGAGCACTTAAAGAGCCCACCAGGGGCACAACATATATGAGCCCCCCATCTAAAGGGAATACAGTATCACAGCTGTGATTTCATCAAAATAAAGTCTAATGTTACGCCACAGATAAGGTTTCTTTCTACTGTAAATAGAAATAACTCCTGCGTCACATGAGAGAAGAACAAAAATGGTCTTGTAAACTGGAGTGTGACTTACTAATGTGTGGTGAGTAGTGTTCTGGGTGGGCTGTGAAGGTGAAGCACGCCTTGACCTCCACGCTAAAAAAAACAAGGCAGACAGCAGACAGTGAAAAACATGATCTGTGTTACAGTAACATGTGATGATAAGTTATTCTGCAATAAAAAAAATCCAAGAGAAAAATACATCAGCAGCTGGTTTGCTTTTTAAAGTGAAACTTGACAAGTCTTTTGCTTTAATTTTTTATTATGGAGTAAATGTTGATTGCACAATGTAATGGCTGTAGAATAATGACACTGCTGGCATTTTGGTTCCTTTCTTTACGAGCCTTGCTTTCACTTCACAAATGAAGGTTCAATTTATGGCACAAAGGAAGTGTGTTGACCAATGTGCCAACGCGGTAGCTATGGGCAGAATATCAGTGTACATTAGAAAGTCCTGATTGTTGTGTAAAAGGTTTGTCTGTCTATTGCATTATGTTTGTTTGCTTTCTCCTGATTGTTTACACTGCTCCTTTTATACTGCCTCTTCACCGGGAAATTTCATACTGTTGTGCTGCCTCGCCGTTCTATATAAAATGCACAGTTGTGGAATGGGGGGACGAAGTTGTCTTGCGTTTAAGCTGGCATCAGAGGTAGTAACAGTGCCAAAACGCTGGACAGCCGGCACGACTGGATCATGTGCAGGACAGGTGTGACATTTTGATGACGTGTTATGCATGTGCCCCCTGATAGAGGTTTAAAAAGTAGATGGCAGTAGTTAGCAGCTGACTCAAAAAGGTAGAACAGTGGCCGCAATGTCCACAAACTGGGAAAACAATGAGGTCCGCGTACTCCTTACCCTCTGTTCAGAGAACGAGATCAGCCACCATATGACAGGGATGGTAAATTATTTCTATTGACATGTTTTGCCATTGTTATTGCTTAAAAAGCACTGGCAATGTGTATGTTATATGTCACACTAGAGGCACATGCTGTATTTTGTTGTCTGTTTCCACTTTAAAATCTGGGTTTTGTTCAGTTATCCTGGATTATCTGTCACATTAGCAGCTCTTACCAGACTCCCTCTCTGCCCTTGCAGTTGTTCTGCTCCAGATCAATGTTCTGAGGGTCGATAGATTTTTCTCTGATCACATGGATGACTGGACGAGACCTTGGGGACACATAAACACAAAGACCTATGTCAGGTATAAGACATTATGACTAGATAGTGGTAAAAACGAATTGTAAACACGTAGGATTTACGACAAAACTTATATTTAATGTGTGTCTTATGTGGAGTTTGATCACTATTTGTCCAACAGTTAAAATTTAACATCAGGCCTTTATGTTTCCTGTCACATGCGTGTTGTTATCAAAATGAGGATCTCATTTTCTCACCTGAAGAGAACCACTGAGTCATTGAGAGAGCCCACCGCAACATCTGGGTACTGGTTATTATCAATATCCAAACCGCCTGAGATGGAGTATCCAAAACGTCTCACATCAAAGTCGCGACCGTCCAGCACCTGATGGGATAAGAAATACTGATCTGTCATCATTCATTTAGACAGTGACTCTTGTTTTTTTTTTTCTTCATTTCCTTTGGTCTATTCATTTTGGTTCTTCCTTCCTTCTCTTCGCTCATCTACTAACAGTTGTATGAAACTCACCTGAGCAGGTTTTGTTTCAATTCCAGCATCTGAGCCTCTGTAGATAAAAACTTTGCCATCTCCATCAAACGGTGCCCCCACAGCAATATCTGAACAGATATGGAAATGACTGAAAACAGTTTTAAGCATATAGACATTCAATAAAACTATTTTTAGTTTACATTTTATCAGTTTAAAAAAGAAACCACCACAGTATGAAAAGGACAACGTGTTGGCTGAAAGTACCACTTCATGAATCTTAGCTGTATCAAAACCATTTGTATCCCCATATATTTCAAATGAAAGCAGCCTCTTTCCAGTATTTATATAATAAGAGAAACTGATGGTGAACTGTGTGAAAAAACCTTCTCACCTCCGTATCCGTCCTGGTCCAGATCTCCTATGTTACTGACTGTCATTCCAAACATGGAGTCGTACGTCCCGTTGAGACGGATCGGCCGAGCTTGATCGTCCCAGTGACCGAAGGGGTTCAGGTACACATACACAGCTCCACCAATCTCTGCCTTACGGTCAAAGAAATTTGGAGCTCCAACAATCAGATCTGTCCAGCTGGGACCAGAAACAGAGGATTAGAAATGAATAATATAATTTTATAAAACACTGAATTGAGTTTTGAGCACCCCAAACTAATTGTCCAGTCTTCTTCAACCACCTCCATCTCATCTATTGTTAGCCAGAGTGGTTTGCTCATGTACTGTACTTGAGGTAGTATTTAATACTTCCACTTCTCTACATGTCTGAGGCAAATATTGTGCTTTTCACTCCTCTACATTTTTTTCACAGCTGTGGTTTCTAGTTATTTTTCAGCTTAAAATTTTACATGTAAAAACATGCATCAACTTGAAAAAATCTGATTCATTAGCATAAATTAAACAACCAAAAATTCTATATGGCAGTTCAATTAGCTCCCCTTAAACCAGCTACAGTAAAGTACTGTAATATTAATGGCATCCATTTTAATTGTCCAGTAATTTAGACATATAACACTAAGTCTTTGAGTATCCAGAAAAGTGCTACATAAATCCAAAAACTTTTACTTTTGACATCTTAAAGTCACAATCTCAAAGATTTCTTTTTTGTTCTCTTTCATTTGTTTGTTCTTGCACCTGGGGCAATAAGCATCAAATTGCTGGTGTGTTTTTGGATCTCATACCCCAGGTCATAAAGAAAGGTTTACATGCAACACTCCATTCTGTTGCATTTACTCCACCTACGTTCCTGGGAACGTTGCCACAGACACCCAGGTCGTAATATTTCAAATGCAAGGCCTTACATCAGTGGGCCACCGGCTCAATCACCATTGCATTCCCTAGTTTGGCAATAGTGAACCCATCCATCCATCATTTTCATAACCGCTTATCCTCTTGAGGGTTGTAAGGGGGCTGGAGCCTATCCCAGCTGACGTTGGGCAAGAGGCAGGGTACACCCTGGACAGGTCGCCAGACTATCACAGGGCTGACACATAGAGACAGACAACCATTCACTCCCATTCACACCTACGGACAATTTAGAGTCACCAATTAACCTGCATGTCTTTGGACTGTAAGGAAGCTGGAGTACCCAGAGAAAACCCACACTGATACGAGGAGAACATGTAAACTCCACACAGAAGAGCTTCCTCCAGGAAGCCTCTTGTTGTGAGGCGACAGTGCTAACCACTACACCACCGTGCTGCCCCGATAGTGAACCAACAGACATTTATTTAAATTAAAATCTTTGAGATTATTACGTTAAGTACACTTTGCTGAAAACATTTGAGTATTTAAGTAAAACACTGAATACCTCTTCCATCACTGTACACCCCTAACTATTTATTGATGATCAGCATTTCCTCACCCGTCCTTGTTTAGATCCGTCGTAGCTACCGAGTACCCAAATGAAGACGCCAGCTCCTCCCCCCAGAAAATGTGCTGTGGCACCAGCCGGTATACGTTGTCTTTCCTCAACAGCACCACGGCCCCTGTGTGATTGGCCCGAGGTGCACCCGCCACGAAGGTCAGCTCTCCAAGGCTCATTATCCCCATAGCCGAGTCCACAGAAAATCCTGGAAGACGGAAGTCAGGACATAGCGGAAGACGGGGGTTGGAGGAGGAAGAGGTCAGGGGTTAGTATTGACCGTGGAGGCTCAGAGGCTCATCTCTTCTCTGTGTAGCATGTTCTACTCATCTTCTTACTAATGAAATGTGTGCCTTAAGTGACTATTGATTTTATGCCAAACTCATGATGGGTGTAAATGTCCTGTGTGCATGTGTCTGAAGGCCGCTGGAGGCTGGCGAATGGTTGTGTGTCCACTAGTAAGAGCAGAGAAGGGTTGATTGTGATGTTAAGAGAGGGAGATGTATCGGGCCTCGCCTAATGTCCTATGAGATTCATGATGCTGCAGCTCTGTATCAGTTGCCTCAAGTGAAGGCAAGATGTAAACATAGTAGGTGGACGTTAAATCAGATTTATAACCTAAAGCAACCCCTCTTTTGTGTGGAAGTGTATGTCTGCATGTGTGTGTGTGTGTGTGTGTGTACAGGAATGTGTGTTTGCATATAAATCAGGAGGAGCAAAGGAGTGAAGAAGTGGAAGGGGGAGGAGTGTGTGTGTGTGTGTGTGTGTGTGTGTGTGTGTGTGNAATTGGCTGAGTTTCTGAGAGCCAAAATGTTGAACTGAGTCATCCTCACATCATTCTTTTACACAGTTGCTGACACTGTCCATATGTGGACATTAATGATATTCTCAGCATTTCATGGGCGCCTGCGGGAAAGGTTTGGCTTTTTGATTGTATCAAGTTCTGGCAGCTCCCAGAACTAATTTTGCTTTTTGCAAGAACCACCAGGTGCAGTGCATATGGTTGAATCCCAGTGCATTTAATTTGGCTTTCAATCAGAACTCAAACAGCTTTCTGTGATGTTGTTTTTACCCATAGAATTGTTACAGGTGTGTGTGTGTGTGTGTGTGTGTGTGTGTGTGTGTGTGTGTGTGAGTGTTTGTTTCATATCAAAATGTACGTTGAAATTTTCTCATCCAACTGTGAAAAATAGCACATCATTTCAAACACTTGAACAGAAGCAACCTCATGCATTTGCTTCTCCGGTTTAAAAACATGCAGAGTGGAGAGTGTGAAATAATCTATCAGGGCACGGAGGGCAGGGTCTGTTAGTCCTGAGTAAACATGCAGGGGGAGACACAACAGAGACAAACAGTGAGCAGCTCCAGGGTGGCAGGTGAGGAATGTCTGCATCACAAGTCCTGTAAAAACGACCGATGGAGACAAAGGTGCTACTTTTTCCACACAGGGTGGCTTTTAACACACAGGCTCGCTACAAGGTCGTCCCTGTAAAACTAAATGGGGAATAAAAGCTAAAGGCTGCAAAGGGTTTATAAGGGGCTGTGCTACGATGATAATGTCTCTGCACAACCCTCATTCAAGTTCTTGCACTAGTTACATATTGCAGTGATACTGTATCTATTTTTACCAGCTGCAAAAATGTCACAGCGGCTGGTATTGTTCTCACCTTGTGAATCTGTGTGTGTGTCATCAGGGCAAAATATGGTCCTGGAAAAACCTATTGTGGTTTTGAGTACTTTGCCAGGTGTTTATAGCCCTTTTCACACCTGCTCTGCAGCCCTGAACTTATCTGGACTTCACCCAGAGGAGCTGTAACACAAATGTCCACTGTTGGACTGGACATTAAACAGATTTTATCCTGCCAGCTCCCTGGTACAAAGTCCTTGTAATGTTTGATTAAGCCCATGTGTGAACAGAGCAGGTAATTTATCTGTAGAATTCACAGCAAGCAAGTGGCCATGTTAATGATGTTTCTATCTGGAAACTGGAAGAATATGAACATCTGAGGGTGGAGAAGAAGGTTCATTTACATGAAGACGCTAATAAAGATGTCTAACTGGAGAAATAAGATTCGGGACATTTTGTCAGTAAGGGCCAGTGCTGAAATTGTCAGACAAATTCACAGATCACTGTGTCATGGTTGTAATGATCCTATCACAAGATGGTCTCTAGGTTGTAAATGGTTATTTCTTCTTCAGTACTGCTTTTTATATTCTCCTTAGTTCTATTTTAATGCCTATTGTGTTGTTTTAGTCTGCTCAAATTCAAAATATTTGACCTGTTAATACATTTTCTGTGTGTGTAGCATTGAGGAGGCTGCAATGTTGTGCATGCCTGTGCTGTATAGTAACAATCAAGGTGAACCTCAAGCCTCACTGTTTGGTTCCACTCGATTTCATATGGCCTGAGAAATTATTTGAAATAAGAGGGTGTCACTTTTTCTAAAAAAACTGTATAACATATAATCTTGAGGTATTTTTTTCAATGTCATATACTTGCTTTACTCTGTTTGTTTGTTCTAGTGGGACAGGTGCATCCTAAACCAGTGTGAAGTTACACATTACCTTCACTTTCCAACTATTTACATGACTGATGTTGTTAACCTGATTATATATTTCACTCCACATTTTATTCTTTATCTTCATCAAGCTTGGATTCCCATACATTTTTATGCTTAAAGTATGGTGGCAATAGTTTGATATAATTGAAATGCATGTTTTTGGAAAGGCATATTGCAACTTTACTATTTTATTTACTCTGTTACTTTTACTTTTTTTCTGTTTTATCCCATCAACTAGATTTGTAAGTTGAATTTTTTTTTCTAAAATAAAGAAAAACTGATGCTTTTTATTGCCATTTTCTTTCATTTTTGACACATAAAGCAAGATAAAGTCAAGACTAAAGATGGTGAGCATAAATGCTGTTTTAACCTGAGCAGTATATGAAAAAAATACATGAACAGGCAGTATGTTTTTTAATGAAAACCTGGACCACAAAGGTTGTTCCACTTGGATCGAGCCCTATAGAAACCTGGCTTAGTCTGCAATAAAGAGATTCTCTCTATTCTCTCTGACTGGATTTGATTTGGCCTTGGTGCAGGGAAAATGGACATATGCTTTTATTCAACAACATGCTACTCCTTAGAATTTAATGTATGTATATAACCAAAAAGAATCCTTTGGTATTTTGGAGTTAGTGATGAATATAATCAGAAATAGCTACAACACTGTCTCTATCATTTTAGTAAGCATGCAAAGGTGTAGCACATCATCTGGTTAGGATCAATGGAAGCATGTGAGTTATAAATGAAGGCTAAAAGGTCATGTGGGAATTAGTGTTGTCAAGGAGACGGCTCAATGTGGAGAGCGGGAGGGTAGGCAGGCTTGGAGGTATGTGAATAAAGAGATTTATGGCAGATCCACACACTTGGTGAGAAGCAATAACTGGAACAATAACAGTAAACAGGTCGTGTTGAGCAGGCAATGAGCCGTTACACATGGACACTGGATACCAAGAAATTCATAACAAATCAAATACAAACTTCAGTCCACCACTGAAATATCTCAACAACTGTTTGATGGACCGCCATGAAATGTTTTACAGATATTCATTGTCCCCAGAGGATATATCCTACTGACACTGCAATCTGCTGACTTTTCCAGCATGTCAAAATCTTCATTGATCCAGATGTACTGGGACACAACTCTGTGCAGACATTCATGGTTCCCAGACGATTCAAATAAAATGTGTCAACAAATTGAGCATAGTGTTAGGTCAGGCACGACACAATGCCAAGCTCAGCTCAGATCAGCTGATCTCAAACAGCCCAGTCAACTGATGGAGCAACTGATTGATGGAAGGGAGTCAGCTGATAGATCACATGATTCCTTTCTATGCAACCAACTGGCAAATCTCATTCAGGGCGCCCTATTTAAACTGCTCTGGCCTGCCTACTGTTGCTGCTTCCTCTCCTTTGCAACCTGCTCCACCCGAGATCCTCCTTTTGTGTCTGACTTATCAATGTAATTTCTGTTTGTCATTGATGCTACCTCTGTTCTGTTCTCTGGGGGGTCTCTGCTGCTGCTCTCCCTACTCTAAGCTTTCCCTGTAGGCGCATGAAAGGGCAGGACAGTTTGCTCTATCTGCCTCAGGCTGTCCTTGTATGCACATGAAAGGGCAGAGGGGTGAGCTCCCTCTATCTCAGGCTGGCATAGGCCTGAGGAGGGGCAGAGGGGTCCCAGAACAGAGCCATACCGCCAAATATAATACTACAATGGAAATAAAGTGTCTTTGACTGATATGGTCCTGACTGAACCATTATTGATTTCCATAAAATTTGGTGAACACATTCTTGATCCCCACAGGATAAACGGTAATACCATTGGTAATCCCTAAACTTTTCATCTAGCCCCATTACCAGGTCACAATTTTAAAGGTACAGTTCACCCATAAATCAAAGGACATATTTTTTTCTCTTGCCCCTAATGCAATTTATCAATCTAAATTGTCTTGGTGTGAGTTGCAGAGTGTTGGAGATTTCAGCTGTAGAGATGTCTACCTTCTGCCCAATATAATAGAACTATGGGAGATGACATTCAGCAAATGGCTGCAGGCTGGAAATAAACCCATGGCCGCTGTGGCAAGGACAATGCCTTTGTATATAGTACATCGCCCCGACCACTGAGCTACTGGGCGCCCCATGGATGAGAGTCCTATGCCCTTGGCAGCACAATAGGTAAACATTAATGGCATCCTCCTTGGCTGAGCTGTAATGTTATCTAGCTCAATTGGCACTAGTTGAGCTAGCAGTAGATGCACATGTCCTTCTGCATGGTTATACACTTGGCAAGTGTAGTTCAGTAGAAAGAAAATAGTTCCTACACGAAACTGCTCACAACGTCTGTGGATTATCTTGAGTAACCAAGTCATGATTTCTCTCCAACACTCGACAACTCTATCAGCACTACAGGTAAGTGGAAAAATATGTATTAGATTTGGAGTTGAACTGTCCCCTTAACATCCAATACTTTGGATAACGACCAAACCTGGATAAGAAATGACATTCCCATCAGCCTCACCTTTACATTGAGTTTAGAGCTAATTAACTGTTAGCATGCAAACACGCTATACTAAGATGGTGAACAGGGTAAACTTTATACCTGCTAAACATCAGCATGTTAGCATTGTGAGCATGTCTGCATGCTGATGTTAGCATTTAGCTCGAAGCACCACTGTGCCTACGAGCTGCTAACGTGGCAGTAGATTCTTTGTTGGTTTGTTAGTTAAACCATATTAAAACTACGAGAAAAACCACCACCCGGAAAGCTTCATACCGACACACACATGCAGACTGACTCAACACACTACAGACAACAGATATCTACAGACAGAACAGACAAACACCCCGCTGCTACTCAAAGAGACAACCATCTCACTGTCACTGTCAAATCAGCAACTAAGTGAATACAAAGTTAAAAATAATCAGAACAAAAAATCTTATCAAACTGAATTATAGTTTAACAGAAAATTTTGAGTTTTGGATGGCTGTCTCTTTATAACAGTACAGGTGATATGGTCCCACATAGTAGATAACATTACACACTAAAATCTATCTGGAATTAGCAGAAAGGATTAAGACGAAGACAGACGAAGAGGGTATAGGACTACTTCCACTACAAGCCCAGTCCGATCCAAACAAAAACACCTCACGCCTACAAACCTAAGTAGCTATTATGAGCTACATCCTCAAACGCTGTGGGCCGGCTGGAGGGCTCCAGAGTTTTGTACAGCAGTGCATCTTCAATGGGGCTAGCCATGAACAAGAGCCCTATGGCCCAAGACAGGAAAAAGAAAGACAGAAAGAGGAAGAGGGACAGAGGGACAAGTGTAGGAGGGGAGTGATGGGGTGGTGAAATGGTGAGGGAAGGGGGAGGAACAGTGAAAAGAGAGGAAAAAGAAGGGGAGAGGGAGGTGCAGGTGAGACAGGCTGTGATTGATTGGTGTTTTGTCTTGGTGGCGCTGCAGCAGTCCTGCAAAACCACTGGGTACCTGGTGGAGAGACGACGTTTCAGGCTCAGACTGCACCCTGACTGCATCCTGTACCACCCTCTTTGAGTTTTGACATGTTTTGCTGTACTTTGTTTTTAGAGGAGGGTGGTGGATGGAATGAGGATAACGTCATGGTTGTTGGGTTGATTTTTTTTGTGCTAAATATTTCACTTGTTCGTCCAAGTAGGGGAGAAGCACTGGCATCATAAGAATTCATGTCAGGCCACAGTTAGCTCTGGACATTTTTCACATGTCCACCCACATTCACATGGTAAAGTGTTAAAAAAGAATGAGGTGGAGTCACATTCAGAGCCCTGTGAGTGAGTCACACATAGATAGGCTCATCCAGGAATAATCCACAAGGGTATGACCAGTTTGAGGCAGTTTGGCAGCTGCTACTGTAACCAGCTCCTGTGGTTTTGGCAGTCTGAGCCCTGGTGTCGCCCTCCTCCACTGGCCCTCTCTTTCTCCCCTGTGCACAGGCAGCAGTGAGCAGGGAGGGCAGATCCTACCCAGGTAACTGTGGGAGGGCACAGGGATGAGCTGGGCATTAAGTTGTTTCTGATCTGCCACCTCGTAGGGCCCGTCGTCATAGAAACCGAGGTCGAGCAGAGTCTGGTTTAGGAGCTGGACACGCATCTCACCTGGAATGGAAACAGGTGAGGGCACAGCAAAGCAACAAGCACACACAGCAGACATCAGAATACACTCATTTACACTCATTTACATACATGCACACCTTAGGGTTCAATGCTAGTATCGGGTAGGGACATGTCCCTTCCAATGCCCAGCGACAACTGAATTGTCCCTAGTAGTAACACTGTTGTCGGGCAGTGTCTAGTCAATGTATTTGGTACAAGACAGTGTGTTCTACTACAAGTCCTGCCTCCATAAACCCGTCTTGCCGACAGGATCAGTCTCGATGTTTCTTGCTAACATTTGGGAAGCTGTAGCTACATCTGGCTCTGTCAACTAGATGTGCATCCTGTGTATAGTGTGTCGCTGCATGTGCTTCCCACTGAAAAGCTGAGAGAAACGGCTGTGAGCTGCACTTTATCAGAGGCAGTGAAGTTGACATTTATGTGTTTATTGTGTGTTTTCAGTTAGTTTCCGTTTTCCATGTCTACTCTGATGAAGAGCAGAACAAAGCCATTAAACGTCTGCCTCAACCAGAGAGTCCCAAGAAGGGTTCTGCATCTGTCGGACAGTCTGAATAACAATGCACAGCAGACTAGGCACCAAGGAAATATGTCATCTTTATTCTCATTAAATTTGAGCTCATTCTTGTAATGTTATTACGTCTTATAATTCCTTTACATAGATAAAGACATTTCCACCTTTAACTGGTGCATAAAAACATCACCAGAATGCAGGAAATGTGTTTAATCCATCAATATTTATCCCCACCAGTGCTGATATCAATCCTATACCCTTGGAACTACATTTACAGTAATCACATTTTTTCACTTTTTTTTGTTTTTGTTTATATAATACATACAAACATAAATTGACTATTGTCTCCATAATAAAGGTTTATATTTTTTGGACAGGATGCAGTTATGTAACTGCTACCTATGAAAATCTGCAAGCATCCATCCAGCAAAAATGACAGATCTGCACAGCCACAGATAACATTCAACGTTTTCAGTCAGACATTACTTGATCTAATGTTACAGGCAGAATGGTGACCTGACGTAAGAGTAAGGTAAAGAAATTAATGTGCAGTAAGGTATCTACCAATAAAGCTGTGCATCACAGCTAATCTCTGTAGTCTGTGCATCGCATAAAGGTTGACAAACCCAAACTTCTACCAGATTTTCACTTGGGCGACCTTATTTTACATCATGTTTTGTTTTTTTTGCAAGTACTCGAGTACTTTATAATGGTATAATGCATGTACTCAAATATGGAAATACTTCAAAATGCCCATCCACACATGGCACATCCTAAATTTATACAACTTACTAATTCTATACAGTATGTGCTAAGTCATTTTAGCAGCACAATTAAATCAATATACATTACAATTTTATACTAACAGGAAATGATACAATACACATGACGCATTGGACTTTGTGAAGACAAAATTAAACTTAACAAATAGCAAAGTGTTTTTCCGAAGATATTATCAATTTTCTGTTGTTTTTCATAGCTTTTTTCTGGAGGTGTCTCACCACCATTCACAATTGACCTACTTTTTTTTGCCGATAAGTAGCTCCTCCGTTTCTTTTTTTGCATTGTGTGAGTGAGTAGTGTTCATCAACAGCACACTCAAAAATTGACTCTATATATTACTCATACTCTCCAAAGAACTGCTTAGATTTTGTCTATAATATAAATCTGGGAAAGACCAACACTCACACACATCAGACACTTTCTATCAATTGAAATACATGTTCGTGGTGTACACAGTGGAAACAGTCTTACATCAGGCTTTGTGGAATAACATTCAGTAATATCAGAAATATCACTCACATCTAGCGTCATATTTTAATGTTTTAGAACATGAATTGTATAAATTAAGATAAGCATTGATCTTATATGGCAGACAAAAGAAATCAATGCAGTGATTGATTACTGCACCAGATAAATCTCAATGCTTTCTGTGATTAAGTGCATGCTGCTGTGCTGCATAATGTCTGCGTCCAATCACGAGATTGGTTTATAAATCAGTTTATTTTTTGAATCTCCAACAGTCCTGTTAATTGTCCTGTTTTAATGAGATAGTTTACTGTAAATGGGTTGGCTCTCGTCTGTAGCTCACATTAGTTAGTACAACAATAAGACTTGCTTTTACCAAGATCCCTATTGCTGCCACCTACTGCCCTAAAAATAATGAATGCAGCTTTAAAAACTGCAACACCACAGTGGTACAAAAATCTTTCATCCGTGTAACTGCCTTGTTTTCGTGACCCAGCTTTCTGCAGGTCAGTCAGACACCTTACCTTTCCAGTTGTAAGTTCCTGGAGCCCCAAACAGAATGAAGTTGTTGTCTGGAGTGAAACTGACAGACAGTCCCTGCTGACAGAAGCCAAACTGCTCGTGTCCCTGCGGCCGGCCTTCACAGAACTTCCACTCCCCTCCATCCAGGTCGTCTCGCTCTGTCAGGTCCTCACTGAGGACATAGCAGCGTCCAATAGGGTCACGAGTCTCTGAGGGTTGACTCACGCGTTGCCTGAGCTCGTACAGGTGAGCACAGGTCTGGTGAGGGACAGGAAACGGCATCAGAGTATTAATTCATAGGATTTACCATGCTTATTAAGATTAGAAATGAAAACTGGTCTTCATTCTTATACATATAGATGTAAAAGTTGGGGCAAAATGTGCCTTATATGTTGACAAATCATTGGGTCAGAGGCAGAACAACATTAAACACAAGACAGACCTAAAGCTTCCTACGCCAATGCATTTACAGGATGTGGTCTGTACTTACCACCACCTTCCCTCCAATCCCCTGACTCTTGACAGTGACTCCCAGCCACTGGTTGTCTTTGCTCTCTCTGTCCAGACTCACTGAAGGAAAACACAGGAGGAAATGGCAAACATAACAGTTTCCATATTGTAAACCAATTATGATCTGAGCCACAGCAAGCAAACAGCACTTTGTTATTCAGTGGAGTTCTTCAAGCTCAAATTAGAGCCAACTTCTCTCTAATGCAGTGCAAATTACTAAATAAGTCAAATTGAGAGTAAGTGGATTTTTATGGCAACATTAGTGAGAGGTTTTGAATAAAATGGTATGACAGCATTCATAATCACGTCATCTTAAAGTAACCAAATGAATCTAGAGAGGCTTATTCTGATAACTACAGTCAGAGATGGAAGATGTTGAGGATAATCTCTGTGGGAATTAAAGAAAAGAAAATGCAAGAAGTTTCCATTTTCTTTCAATCTGCCAATTATTTTCTCAATCAACTCACTCATTTTTTGGGAAATAAAAGTCAGAAATTAATACAAAATGCCCATCACCATTTTTTTGTAGCCTAAATTGACATGTTTATCTGATCAACAGTTAAAAAACAAAATACTCAGTATTTCAAGTCAAGTCAAGTCAAAATTTATTTATATAGCACATTTAAAAACAACCTCGGTTGACCAAAGTGCTGTACAGTTCATCCAAAGAGTGAATAAATAGCAAAAACCACAAAAATTATCAATAAGATCAACAATAGGTTTAGACAATAAAACATCAACACTAGAGTACAGGTTAAATACAAATAAAAGCTGTAAAAGACATGTCTGTCTCAACTAGAGGTGAAAGCAAGCGAAAAGAGGTAGGTTTTTAAAAGAGATTTAAAGTGTTCCAAAGTTCGGACTGCCCTTATATGAAATGGTAAAGTATTCCATAAATTTGGCGCCACAACGGAAAAGGCTCTGTCACCCTTGTTTTTAAGTTTAGTTCTGGGACAGGCCAGCAGCAACTGGTTGCTTGATCTCAGTGCTCTGGCTGTCGTGTGAAGCTGAACAAGCTCAGATAGATAGGATGGAGCTAAGCCATTCAGGCTTTTAAAAACAAATAATAAGATTTTAAACTGAACTCTAAACTGGACAGGGAGCCAGTGCAAAGAGGCCAGTATTGGGGTGATATGATCACATCTTTTCTTTCCTGTCAGCAGTCTGGCTGCTGCATTCTGGACAGCCTGCAGGCGTTTCAGTGACTGCTGGTTCAATCCAGCATAAAGAGAATTACAATAATCCAGACAACAGGTAATGAAAGCGTGAACTGCCCTCTCAAAATCAAGTGGAGGGATGTAGGGCTTTGCCTTACTAAGTAGCCTTAATTGAAAGAAGCTTGATTTGACTACTGAACTAATCTGTTTTTTAAATTTAAAGGCACAGTCAAAAATTACTCCTAGGTTCCTTGCAGCAGGGTGACAGTAGGAAGCCAATGGGCCAATGGCACTGTCATAGCCATCTAAAAGGTCAGACTGGCCAAATAAAATAATTTCAGTTTTGGATTTGTTTAGGTTCAAGAAATTTGAAGCCATCCATGTGTGAACATCATTGAGACAGTTCAGCAGAGCTTGAATGGAGGTAGAGCTGTTTGTTTGAAGAGAAAGGTAGATCTGTAAGTCATCTGCAAAGCAATGAAATGTTATATTGTACTTTCTAAATATAGCGCCCAGGGGCAGCATATAAATGGAGAAGAGAATGGGCCCCAAGATGGAACCTTGAGGCACCCCACAATTGAGTGAGGATGCAGCAGATCTATACTGAGAAACTCCTTTCTGATAAATAGGATTCAAACCATTTGAGCGCTGTACCTTTAATACCTACACATAGGTCAAGACGTGATAAAAGAATCTTATGATCTACTGTGTCGAATGCTGCTATTTAAAGCATTCAGTCAACTAGTAACATTTTGAGATGCTGAAACTGATCAATTTTTTGGTATTTACCTTAAAAAATAATGTAAACAGTCGATTATCACAGTTGTGGCTGATTAAATTAGCAGCAAATTGTCGCTGCTAATCAATTAACTGACTCATCATTTCAGCTCTGCTTTCCTCACCTTCTCCATCAATATCCACCCTCTCACAGTCGTACTCCTCTGGCGTGATTGGACACCTGAACAAGGCTCCTGGCCGGCTCCCCCGCAACAGGCCCTGCCCCGCTGCCTGCGGTGCCCCCACGAGGATCCTGAAGAAACATCAGGAGGAACATTTACTTAGCAAAGACTGATTTCTGATATCACAGAGGTGTGTGTCACAGGCTCATGACAGACACTAAGCACGTCATGTGAGTCTTAGTTTTACTAATTACATTGTAGCTAAGTATGTGTGTAAGTACATTAATACCCACACTCTATACTCACCCCATGGGACACTGAATTTGTGAAGAAAACTTTGTTTTTCTCACATGTGAACGATGAATCCAAAAACATAGAAAACTCTTGATAAATTGGAGTAAAGGTGGGAACATGTTTAACAACTGCAAAACTATATCAGAGCATCCGTTTACAAACTCTCACACAGCTTGTGCAGTATAATCCAAGTCTCATATATCCAGTTATTTGCTCATATATCCAGTTATATGCTGTATTTATGTGTATTTGAACTCTGCTTGTGCATTCCACTGAGTTGCTGAGGTGCACTTCTCATCCATGTGTGAAACTGGTCACGTGAACTGTTTGAAATTCCAAGTTTGTACTGAAAATGCACCTGTGTGGGAAGTACTGAGCATCAACTGGATAAATCAGATGTAGATTATACTGCAGGAGTTAAATGAAAATTCAGAAATGGATGTTGAAGCGGATGAAAGGGATTGTTAAACCCGGCCCCCTTTTACTCCGGTTCATCAAGAATGTTTGCCTTTTTTGGATTCTTCCTTCAGCGTAGTTACACGAGGTGAGTAACTGGTATACAAATGGTCATTTTGTGGTTGACGTATGCCTTTACAGGCTTTTACTAACACTATTATTTCACATGACAGGTGGCAAATTTCACACTTTAGCCTCAGCTGACTCAAGCCACCATTACTGTGAAGCAGAAAACACCTGCAGCCCAAACTATTCAAATCCAGCTGAGACCACCCGCAGTTAAACATGTTATCTTGACTGTAAGTTGATTGAAAACAGCTCTGTGGCGCCTGCGTGTACTGTATCTCGTTTGCATACCTTATCTTATCACGGATCATCTTTTATTATCAAGGCAAGGAAAAGTTTTATTCTCAGTGAGGTGGTTGCTGATATTTTGGGGCCAGTGTCACTGCCCCTCTGCCTTATTAGGAGTGGCTGATTCAAGCTAGGATGCTATTTAAAAACCGAGCGTTGAGCCACATTCCACCCAACACTGTCAGCCATGGCATATTCATGGGAGCGAGACGTGGGGAAACACAGGCAGAGGAGAGAGAATAAAGAGCAGATTGTAAGGTGGGGAAAAAAGTGAGAGGGATCAACCTTAAACTGGGTGCCACAACAATAGCAGTCACAATGTGCCTTCTGCTTATACAGACTATAATTATAACAATGATGTATGAGGAAAAACAAGCTGCAACCTCTGTAAAAAGTTCCCACCAGCCCCCCCGCCCTCATATCTACCTTGTTATGTACACACTTAAATTAGAGTTATCTCTGTGGCTGGGAAGTATTTTGCCTATAAATACAGTGAAGCAAGCTGATAGCACTGCATGGGCTACACATAGACAAACAGAGAAACAGACACAGACACTCATCAGCTAGCCAGAACAGCAGCAACACACCCAATCCAATCACACTATGGATACATTACATTTACACATTAGCCTATACATTGTATATCTATGTTTAAACAATGCTGTGGTTCATGTGTGGTTAGGTTTAGGCACTAATAACACTTGGTTATGGTGAGGGAAAAAAAAATCTTGTTTTGGCTTAAAATACGCGGTCATGTGAGCACAATCCTTGCAGGAAAAGCGATGTTTTGGTAAAAAAAAAAAAAAACATTAGCTTTTTGGGTCACTATGCCAACAAGAAAAGCAGCACTGTCTCAGTAAAAACACAACCACTTTTTGGGCCACAATCGCAGCAGGTAAAAAGCAATGTCTCGGAAAAAAGCAAATGCTTTGCGGGGCACTATCCTAGAAGGAAAAGCAGTGATGTCTGGGTAAAAACAAATGCTTTTCAAGGACACTTTCCCAGGAGAAAAGCAGTAATGTCTCACTAGAAAACACTACCTTTTGGGCCACTATCTCAGAGGAGGTAACAACAACCATCTCTGTAAAACACAATAGCGTTTTGGGCCACAATGCCAGCAGAGAAAGTATCAATTTTAAAAAAACACAACCGCTTTTTGGGCCAAAATTGCAGCAGGAAAAGAAGCAATTTCTCAGAAAAAAGCAAACACTTTTTGGACCACTATCCCAGGAGGAAAAGCAGCAGTGTCTTGGTGAAAAAACAACTGCTTTTTGGGCCACTTTCCTGGCAGGAAAACAGCGATGTCTGGGTGAAAACAATTGCTTTTCAAGGACACTATCCCAGGAGGAAAAACTGTAATGTCTCGCTAGAAAACACTACTTTTTGGGTCACTATCCCAGAGGAGGAAACAGCAATGTCTCTCCAAAAAACAACTGTTTTAGGGTCACAATCATGGCAGGTAAAGCGGCAATATCTCTGTAAAACACAACAGCTTTTTGGGCCACTATACCGGCAGGAAAAGTAGCAATATTAAAAAAACACAACCGCTTTTCAGGCCAAAATTGCAGCAGGAAAGGAAGCAATGTCTCAGAAAAAAGAAAACACTTTTCGGGCCACTATCCTAGGAGGAAAGGGAGCAATGTCTGTGTAAAAAAAACCCAGATTTTTGGGCCACTATGCTTCCAGGAGAAGCAGCGATGTCTGGGTAAAAAACGACTGCTTTTCAAGGACACTATCCCAGAAGGCGAAACAGCAACATCTCTGTAAAAAGCAATTGCTTTAGGGCAAGTAGTGATGTCTGGGTAACAAAAAACAAAACCTGTTTGTTGCCTAAAAAGCCACTGGGAACACAGCAATGACTCACTAAATCACAACTTTTTTTGTTGAGGGTTTTGAACAGTGGTCTGCAGTCATCTCACCTAGGTCACACCCAAAAGTCAGCCTCTATATTACATCACTTTACAAACATTGATATTATACGTATAAAACTTCAAATGTAATGTATTCTTGGTTTGCAGAAACATTCAATGCCAACATTTCCCTGTGGCTACTGTGCTGCATCACACCAGTTTACTCTTGCACTGGACATTGCTGCTTGATACAGTTCAGATAGTTTGAAGGTGATGGGAAAGTGGCTCAAACAAGGTGAACCAGTCTGCTGCACATTACAACATCTTACTCATTTTACACCATAACAATAGCTGCCACCCATACTCAACATCTTTTCTCTTTCCAGTGTAAGAAAAAACTGTAGTCCTCACTTTCATCCTAACACACACTGACACAGAAACTACCACTGATACCACCCAGACTGCCTGACAGCTCTACTTTCTATTTTCTCCTCTTCCCTGACAAGTACTTCTGTTGAGGTGCAGCCGTGCGTTGCCTCAGGGCTGATTCCCCTCACCTTAATGAGTAAGAACACCCAACGCCAGACACCTCATGTGAAATAACGACTGCTACACATCACTGGTGGTCCAAAGAGAACCCTGACCAGAGGGTGTTAAGCTAACGCAAACTCATGTTAAACAAAAGGGATTTAAGAGGAAGAACATATCACTGAAAAAACCTGATAAGATCCGATCCCTCTTATAGCTCGACATTCCTGGGGAGCTCTGGTTTGTGTTTAGGAGTTGAGGTGATACAAATCTTCCCCCCACATGTGCATACACACAGGCAGGTGTCAGGGAGTAAAATGGGCGGTCTCTTAAGCTGTTATACCGCCAGTATTTGGAGAAGAGAGTTGGATGGCTCCCAGCCTGTCCATGTGCCTAAACATTATATTCAGCCAAGTTTGACAGATTTAAATTATTACGCAGAGTGAAAACACCTCAAAAGATATAAATTATGCAGCTTTAAAACAATACGATTAGGGGCCCCGGCCATCTTTCACAACATGTCATATAAAATCAGTGTTTGTCTAACTTAAGTTGATGTAGATGGTACATATTTTATTGTCATTTAAGACAGCGGGTTTAAGCAGCACTTAAAAAACAAAGTCATAGTCATAGAAGTGAATTGAATATATTTGGGAATTGGGTGGACTATTGATTAGACAAAATAAGACATTTGAAGATCTCACCGTGGGCTTTCAGAAGTTGTGATGGGCATTTTTCACTATTTTCTAACATTTTTTCAAACAATTAATCGATTCATTAAAAGTGAAAATAATAACCAGCCTTTTTAATACCATCCATTGCCGCCAGTCTTTCTCTATAAAAGGCATCTTTGTGTGAAAAACTTCATAATCTCTGAAAAAAAGGACATTTTGTTTGTGTCTTCAACAATCATCAGAGCCCTGAATATTTTCTGTGTGAATCTGTTTGTATGAAGTTAAGTGACTGAGTTAGTCAGTGCTGAATAATGCCCAACATACTGACAGGCACACATGTCCCAGATTTGACACAGATAAAATGTCACGGCTGAGTAATGCCTTCATTTGTTTGCCCTTTACCCGCCTTTCAGTTCGCTTCATTGTTCAGGATTGAGTCAGCACGATCATGATCTCCACGGCCAAGCTCATCTTTCAGTAAACCCACATTTGACATGGAGTATGTGTGTATGTAATATGAGTGGTTGTGGGTCTGGATTGGAGATATCAGGGAGCTGAGTGTGACGGTGACGGTAAAATACCCACATGAAGTCAGACACCACAGACCTGGCACCAGTATGGCTGAAGTGTGTGTGCATGTGTGTGTGTGTGTGTGTGTGTGTGTGTGTGTGTGTGTGTGATTTGCATTGCGAGGTTCTAAACACAGATTAGATAGTACACCTGGGCCCCGCCTGCATTAGTGACCCCCCGACAAACTGATAAAACAAGACTATAAGAGTCTACAGGCATACACAGTTACAGTCAGTGGCTCCATCAGGTTCTAACAGCAGTGCTTAGAGCGAAATGCTAACACCTGCATGCTAACATACGCAAAATGACAATGCTAAGTTGGTGGTTTACCATGTACACCACCTTAGTTTAGCGTGTTAGCGTGCTAACATTTGTTAATTAGCACCAGGCAAAAAGTACAGCAAA